GTCTCTCTCTCTCACTGTCCACTCTGCCTGCCAAAAAAAAAAAAAAAAAAAAGATTTTGGCCCCCCTGGTTTGGGTGGACGTCTTGTTGGATTTCTCAGTGTTGTTGATTATAAGTTAAAAAATCACGAGATGCCCTTTTAAAAAGCACCCAGTGACACCTAATAGCAATACAGCTGTGTGTAAACATATTTGTACACGTAGCGTACCTGTGCACGAAACTGCTCATGGCAGCATTTTGTTGCAATATTGAACTTCCAAAAACAAATGCCCAACCGTAGGATACTGTTCATTAGATTATGGCAAATCTGTATGATGGGATGTGTGGGACTATTAATAAGAAATAAAGTATTGACAGCGATCAGCATGCATGTCATTATTTCTGAGTATGCTAAAGATATGTCGACTGTGGTAGGAAAAACTGAGTTATAAAAAGACACATTGTAAATATAAATCTATATTCAGGCTTAGACAGTCTCTGAAAACAGGGAAAAGCTATTAATGGGATTGGGCTCAGTAGAAGGGCTGTGGCTGGCGGAGGCATAGAGGCGTAAGAGAGACTTTTTGAAACTAGTTTTTTTTTCTTAATATGTTTTTTAAAAAGTATGTCAGATGCCAAAGAGAGACTCAATACTTGCATTCAATATTCAGAGGCTGAACTCTTCCTACTAAGTCACCGACTGCTGAAATATGCTTTCTGCATGCTCCAAGTTTCCATAAATGAGGAGTCAAGTCCCTCAAAGCGATTGTGTCTTTAATGTGTTTACACTGCCCTGCTTTCTCTGTAGCACCATTTCCAAGGAATTTGGGGGCATTCTCTCCCTAGACACTCGCTTTCTCAGTGTTTTAGACAATCATTGATCTGATAACAAAAGGAAGCTATTAGAGACGCTGTGTGCCAGATATTACTCACGCTGGATAAATTGCATGCCCAGGGGAGTAGGAAAAAGGCACATCAACAGAAATAGAATTTAATTCACACTGATTAAAACAGTATGTGCCACACAGCTCTTATGGAAAGCAAGGAGAAGTAGCATATACCAAGAAATCTAGTGACTGGAATAGGGGAAGACGGCCCCAAAGGTTAAAATTGGTCAGTGAACTTTTCTTGATTATTTTGTTGTCAGACCTTATGCGGAGGATTAACAACATGGCAACTTGGGAAAGGAAAAAATAACAAAACAATGAGTATAATGCCATGCAATACATGGGAGAAGCCAAGAGAAAAATACATTTAAGCAAATATGGAGGAGGAAGAGAGCTTTTTTAAAAGCATATGCAGGGGCGGGCACTATGGCTTAGTGGGTTAACGCCCTGGCATGAAGCGCCAGCATCCCATATGGGCGCCGGTTTGAGTCCCGGCTACTCTACTTCCAATCCAGCTCTCTGCTATGGCCTGGGAAAGCAGTAGAAGATGGCCCAAGTGCTCGGGCCCCTGCACTCACGTGGGAGACCTGGAAGAAGCTTCTGGCTCTTCTCTTCAAATCGGCACAGCTCCGGCCGTTGCGGAGTGGACCATCTGGAGAGTGAACCATCGGATGGTTCTCTCTCTCCCCTGTCTCTCTCTCTCTCTGCTTCTCCTCTTTCTGTGTAACTCTGACTTGCAAATAAATAAATAAATCTTAAAAAAAAGCACATGCAAAAATGGCACGTAGACATGAAGGCAGGAGACATTCAAGGAAGGCCAGAGAGCGCCACTCCTAGATGTGGAGGACACGTCTCAAGCTGCCTGTTCAGCATCTCCAAGAGGCTGCCCAAGAATCAGCCCAGACCTCACCTACTAGGCCAGCCTCTCCCTCCTTCACTCCTGTCCCCACGGCTTTTCCTCTTCCCAGTTCCCAGCAGCTGCAGCCTTCCAGCTGCTCAGGTTGGATGCCCAGGAGTCACTTTGGTTTTTTTTTTTTTTTTTTTTTAAGTTCTCCTTATGCATTTGAAAGGTAGAGTGATGGGGCCGGGTGGGGGTTGGGAGCAGCGTGTAGAGAGGTCTTCTATGCCTGTTCATTTCCCCAAATGGCTGCAACAGCTGGGGCTGGACCAAGCCAATGCCAGAGCAAGGAACTCCATGCAGGTGTCCCACATGGGTGGTGGGAACCCAAGCATTTGAGCCATCATCTGCTGCCTTCCAAGTTTATCAGCAGGAAACTGGATTGGAAGTGGAGTGGCCAGGACTCTAACAGGCACTGAACAGCAGTTTAACCAGATACCCGACAATACCCTCCCCTCCCTCTCTATGTCACTACTGGGTACTGTGTATCTCATATCCAAAGTGTCAGTATGGATAGAATTAAAAAGGAGAGAACGATCCAACGTGGAAAGTGGGATACACAGCAGACTCATAAAATGGCAGAATCCCTAAAAAGCACTCGGCCTCAGAATCAGCCCTAAAGGCATTGAGATCTGTCGAAAAAGCTCATGAGAGTATTTCAGGCATGGAAAGCCAAGACACTCTGGCAAAAAATGACCTAAATGAAAGATCTCTGTGAGTGAGATCCCAGTGGAAAGAACGGGCCATCAAAGAAGGAGGTACCTTTCTCTGAAGGGAGGAGAGAACTTCCACTTTGACTATGGCCTTGTCTAAATAAGATCGGAGTTTGTGAACTCAAGAGGCTTCCATAGCCTTGGCAGCTCATGACAAGAGCCTCGGGTGATTACTGACATCATAAATAAGAGTGTCAATGGTTAAATCAAAAGCAGGAGTCACTGTGAACTTACTCCCCATGTAGGATCTGTTCGTAATATGTTGTACTATGTGAATTAATGTTAAAACTAGTGTTCAAACAGTACTTTACACTTTGTGTGTCTGTGTGGGTGCAAGCTGTTGAAATCTTTACTTAGTATATACTAAGTTGATCTATATGACCCAACTGTCCCAATTATGGACCTGTATCTGAAAGAGTTTGAATCCGCTCATCTGTACCTGCGTTGGCCCAGCTTCTCCTCCAGGCCCCCCAGACACACTTGCTCCACCACTGCAGCTTCTGCTGGGTGGGCCTTCAAGGCCGTCTTCCCCACTCCCCTGCATAAATTGGCAGGCTCCCTCGGAGGCCTGCTCTCTTCTTTCTTATTTTTCTCATGCTGCATGTCACTGTGAAACACACCCTGCAGCCCACAGTTATCTTATTTATTATCTGCCACTTACCATCCATCCCCAGATTACAACTTCCCAACAGATAGGGATTTGGGGTCTGTTCTCTTCACAGTGGGCCCAGAACCTAGCCCAGCACTCACTGTGGGTGTTCTCTTAGTATCTGTGAAATTCCTGAGCCAGTGAGAGAGGGCTGTGACTGGGGTCTGAATGGTGAGAGTGGATGTTGGAGGGAGCCACAGTGCCCAGCTCCTGAAGGTGTCATGGTAAGAACTCAGAGCTTATCAGAAAGCAGAAATCCATAGCGAATATGCAATGCGAGGGTAATTCCAAAAGTCACATGAATTGCATATTATTGGATGCATAATGTTACTGGTCACAGAGGGGAGGGCTGTTGCCGTACCGAGTCTAGTGGGTTCTTTTCCTCAGCTGAGTATAGAAATAAAAAGCCAGGAAACAATTTACAAAGAGGCAGAAACTTTGATTCGATTGGCAAGCGACAGAGAAAGCATCTGGTTCAAGATGAGACAGATGGAGTGCCCGAGCAGGACACTGCTTTGAGGGCGTGTCCCTGGGTTTTAAGGCATTGCTATTTGTTCACTGGGTTACCCTACTGGGGGTACGCATTGGACATGGGGTTTCATATACGTATGTTGATTGGCTTGGGGCTCAAGGAGATAGTGGGGGGTCTCCTCTCCTGGAGACTGTCTCCTTAGGGGCTCAGCCCCCTCCTCTGCCAGCTCTGAGTGAAAGATTGCCCCCACCCTGCAGGTGTGATTTCAAACTGTAAGGTCACTCATGCAGCACAAGAAGTTATTAGTGGAGGAGATGCCAGTTGGCCTGAAGATGGGCTTTCCAGCCACAGCTGGCAGCCCGCTTGTGAAATACATTCTACCTACGTCTGCAGGAGCCCACAGACTCCCAGCCCCACTGGCCGGCCTCACATGATGCACATGAGGTCTCTGCCTGGCCCAGTTGAGCACCCAAAGGCGTTTCTCCAGCTTGCACACTCCATTCTTACCTTCAAATTAGTAAACCTGGATCATCGTGCCCTAAAATGCAATGTATCTTTTAATCACATTTTTCTACTTTTACAAGTATCCTCATACACACACATACATTTTATATAAAGATTGCAGTGGAGGTCGAGGAAGGTAGGAAAAAGAAAAGATAAAAAGTGATTGCAAGCCGGCGCCGCGGCTCACTATGCTAATCCTCTGCCTTGTGGCACCGGCACACCGGGTTCTAGTCCCGGTCGGGGCGCCGGATTCTGTCCTGGTTGTCCCTCCTCCAGGCCAGCTCTCTGCTGTGGCCGGGGAGTGCAGTGGAGGATGGCCCAAGTGCTTGGGCTCTGCACTCACATGGGAGACCAGGAGAAGCACCTGGCTCCTGCCTTCGGATCAGCGCGATGCGCCGGCCACGGCAGCCATTGGAGGGTGAACCAACGGCAAAGGAAGACCTTTCTCTCTGTCTCTCTCACTGTCCACTCTGCCTGTCAAAAAAAAAAAAAAAAAAAGTGATTGCAATGGGGCCGGCGTTGTGGCACGGTAGGTTCAGCCACTGCTTGCAGCAGCTGCATCTTATAGCAGAGCACCGGTTTGAGTACCGGCTGCTCTGCTTCCGATTTGGCTCCCTGCTAATGTGCCTGGGAAGGCAGCAGACAATGGCCCAAGTACTCGGACCCCTGTCATCCACTTTGGAGACTTGGATGGAGTTCTGGACTCCTGGCTTCAGCCTGGCCCAGCTCCAGGCATTTGGGGAGTGAACCAACAGATGGAAGAACTCTACTCTCTCTCTTTCTGGCTCCCCATCCCACCCCTGCCCCATCACTCTGCCTTTCAAATAAATAATAAAAATAAGTTTTTTTAAAATAACAACAGGTAACAAGCAAAGAAAAGAGTGATTGCAGTGATATTTGTGAGAATGCCACAGATTCCAGAAGCATTCTGGGGCAGAATTCTTGAAGCCTGGTGGGTAAATGAATGAGGAGAATAACAGAAGACAGTCTGGGGTCACTGGGACTTAGCCTGTGCACATGGACATTTGGTGTTGGAAGTTAGAGCCTCACCCTGGAGGAAGAAAATCTAAGTCTCTATGGGTCTTCCAGGCAGAAATGCAAACTGGTTGGCTTTGGGACTTCATCATCAGTCTTGTGCTGTGAAGCGACTTTTACGTCTTGTGTCAATGACTTCCTGCGGCAGGTGGTGGGCGATCAGTTTCATAAAGGTTCTGTCTGCAGGGTGCCGCAGCATCTGGGTGCAGATGGAGCGCTCGGTTCATCCTTTCTGTGCTTACACAGTTCCACACATCTTTTGCTTCCTTGTCTGGGTGTTTGGTATTTTTAGAAATATTGCCATGGGTTCATTCATGAGGCTTCACTTAAGAATTTTGGAAATCACCGCAAATGTTAAGTGTTTTAATATGGATTGAAGGCTGGAAATGTGGGGAGATAAAAAAGAGCAATTCACACTTAGATTAGGGGCACTTGGAACTTAGTAGATGCTACCACAAAATTTGATGGATAGTGCTTCAAGATCACAGAGCAATTTAATGAACATAAAAGCAATGCCTACCCTGATAAACGGGAGAGAGGACCGGGAATAGACAATAGCTAAGTGGATGCTGACATGATGCTCATTAACATTGTTTAATATGTTGGAGTAAGCATCACAATTACTCAGACTGGCTTGTGCTATGGGGCATCTTAGTACATATGCTTTGAACACAGATATACTTTATTTGAATCCTAAAGACATAGGGATAGTCTTAGCTTTGGTAAAGAAATAGACTTCTTCCTATGCATCCCTGACCGTGTGGTGTTCTCCATTTACCTTTTATTTTCTGACTTTTGATAGTGACAGGAACCCAAGAAGTGTTTCATGTTCCTCTTCTCACATGCTTTCTTATGTATTTTTATTATTCCCACATAATAAAAGCAAGAACCAGGCTCAATGACCCAGCAACCATCTGCTGGTGCCCAGGGCTACTGGGTGTACTACTGGGTGTATCCCAGATATGTCAGTCAGGATGTGCCAAGAGAAGCCAGAAATCTAGGTTTTTGTGTGAAGTCTCCCTTTTAAAAAGCAAATAAAAAAGGTTAAAGTGCACGGGGATGAAACGCGTCTGCTGGCTTGGGTGTGCACTGCCCACTCTGGAGGCGATGAAACTCATTGCAGCCTACTCCCCCCTTGCCCTGGTGAGGTTGGAGCTGTAAGATCTTCCTTTTGTGATGGAGTTAGTGACCTCAGAGAGGGTGAAAGATTTACCCAAATCCCATCCATCCAGGCTTTTCGAATCTGACCTGGAATTTGAATCCTGATCAGTCTGGTCTCAGAGCCCACAGAGGTCTGCATTCCAGTGTCCACGTGGTATGTCTTTTGCCATGAAGGAGTGTTACAAATGCAAATAATTATTATGCTGTGATCACCCCCATATTGTGAAAGTCTCATTGTACAGGGAAAGACAGGATGAATAGGTAAGCAAGGCACTGTCAGCAAGTTTGCCTCAACAGTAATTGAGATGAAAGGGAAATCAATTGCATTAAGATCCTCTAAGAAGTCTTACTAAAATCTGTTCTTCATTAGTAATGATTGCGGCTTGAATTGTGTTGTCCCAAAAAGATGCAGTTAATTTGGAGGAGGTCATACTGCATTAGGGTGGGCCCTTCCTCTAACATGGCTGGTGTCTTTATTTTTTTTTTTAACTTTTATTTAATTAATATAAATTTCCAAAGTACAGTTTATGGATTACAATGGCTTTTCCCCCATAACTTCCCTCCCACCCGCTCCCTCTCCCCTTCTATTCACATCAAGATTCATTTTCAATTCTCTTTATATACAGAAGATCAGTTTAGCATATATTAAGTAAAGATTTCAACAGTTTGCACCCACACAGAAACACAAAGTGTAAAATACTGTTTGAGTACTAGTTATAGCATTAAATCACAATGTACAACACATTAAGGACAGAGATCCTACATGAGGAGTAAGTGCACAGTCTGTTGTTGACTTAACAAATTGACATTCTTGTTTATGGCATCAGTAATCACCCTAGGTTCTTGTCATGAGTTGCCAAGGCTATGGAGGCCTTTTGAGTTCCCCAACTCTGATCTTATTTAGAAAAGGTCATAGTCAAAGTGGAAGTTCTCTCGTCCCTTCAGAGAAAGGTACCTCCTTCTTTGATGACCCATTCTTTCCACTGGGATCTCACTCACAGAGATCTTTCATATAGGTTTGTATTTTTTTTTTTTTTTTTTGCCAGCGTGTCTTGGCTTTGCATGCCTGAGAAACACTCATAAGCTTTTTAGCCAGATCTGAGTGCCTTAAGGGCTGATTCTGAGGCCAGAGTGCTGTTTAAGACATCTATGGCTGGTGTCTTTCTACAATGACACTTGATGAAGACCCAGATATGAAACACCACGTGAAGTCAGAGGCTGAGATCAGGGAGAGGCCTGTGCAAGGATCGACAGCCAACACCAGAAGTCAAAAAGAGCCAGGAAGGAGTCTCACCAGAGTCTCAGTGGGCCTGTGGCCCACTACTGTGTTCATCTTGATTTCCAGCCTCAGAACTGGGAAGGAATGCATTTCTGTTGTTTCAAACCATCTTAAACTTTGTCATAGCAGCTCCAGGAAATCCAATCACAGAAATGCGAATTGAAACAACACAATATTTTCTATCCAAAAATTTATGTCCATTAAACTATTTTATCAATATTTTAAAGGTTTATTTATTTGTTGAAAGTCAGAGTTACTAATAGAGGAGAGAGAGAGAGAGAGAGAGAGAGAGAGAGAGAATCTCCCATCTGCTGGTTCACTTCCCAAATGGCTGCAATGGCTATAGCTGAGCCAGGCCAAAGCCAGGAGCCAGGAGCTTAATCTGGGTATCCCACATGGACAGCAGGGGCCAGACACTTGAACCACCCTCTACTGCTTTCCCAGGCCATTAGTAGGGAGCTGGATCAGAAGTGGAGCAGCCAGGAAATGACCTGGTGCCCATATGGGGTGCTGGCATTGCAGGCGGCAGCCTAACCTGCTAAACCATAAGACCAGCTCCAAACTGGCAAAATGTATAAGTCTTATAACAGCAGCATGCCTTAGAACTTTTAACTCATTCTTTAAAAATGTGTATGTGTGCATATGTTTATATTTATTTTAAATTTCACTGATATAAGGGATGTATGAGTGTAGCACACAATTTAGAAAGGGCAGTAAAACCTATAGCACTTTTTATCATCAATTCCATATAATCAAATGATGCTCACTGAAAACTTTGTGTTGATGTTTGAAATTTGCAGCCAACCTATAGTTACAACTGATGAATGAGTGTAGTTCAGACATGAATGTTGGTTGATATTTTTGTTTATGCTAATGAGGAAGAAAAAAGTGAAACATGATAATCTAGCCAAGAATTTTGTTTACTGTCAATGAGGTGATCCAAATTATTTCCTGACTTGGATAACAGTTTTCAAATACTGAAAAAAGGTTTTCTTAACCTTTTGTGCTATTCACAGTATGACAGCTATGGGTAAAACACACATTCAAGTTCAAGCTATTTTGTGAATGCTTCTACCATTATTTTCTTAAATCTAGACAGTGAACAAGACCATAAGTCAAATCCTGGGTTTTTAGTGTTTGCCAAGGTCCTTGGCTCGTTTAATGCCACCAAGTGATGCCACTGCACACAGAACTGGGCAGAGGCATGAAGCAGCACCCAATTCTTTATGTGGTGCTTCTGCCACCAAAGGCAAGAGATGCGTGGAACATCAAGGGCATGAGTGATCATAAAAAGCATTGTAAAACAATTAGAAAGAGATGGATTTTGAGTTTTTACCCTGTTTATTTACAATATGGTTTATTTAACTCTATGTTTCTATTATTTCTTTTTAAATAATGGCCATTCAACAACTGGACTACAAATTCCTGCAAAGGTAGCAACTGACTCTCATGCACCATGCAAGTTGGTCCCAGTGTGCCACTGACACCCATGCAAAGAAAGGAACCTTGCTTCTTCTGCCAGGGAGGGTGCAAATTTAGCACAGGCAGTGTGGAGTGCAGTTAAAATGTGTGTGCCCTGTGGGTGTGTTTCCATGCATAGGGAGACTTTTTGGAGCATGAGGAGATACACATAAGGATGTTTATTGCAACACTGTCAGCAATAATCAAAAACATTAGGCTCTTGAACAGCCTAATGTTCCACAAGATGGTGCATAAATTGTGTTATATTTGTATGATGGAACAGTGTGTAATGTGATCATTAAAAATTCGAGAGCTATGGATGGCAACATGATTACAACCTTGCATCATAATAAATGAGCAAAGCGAATTGCAGTGTGATGTGTGTACCATGATAAATTTCTCATTAAGTATCAGACTAAACCAATATTTACTGTGATACATAATCAATTAATTAATATCTTAAAATTAAATTTAGGAATTACCTCTGAGAAGGTAAAGGAGAGGCAAGGGGGTTGAGTAGTGTCTGAAATAACTTTCTTCTTAACAATGAAAACTGCAGGAAATCTGGCCAAACAGGAAGCGCTGTTCAAGCCGAGTAGCATGCACTGGTGCTGGTTGTACTTAAGTTCTTTACCAGTGCAGGTGTGGCTGCATTGGAGGCTCTGGAGGGTCTTTTCCTAAAGGGGCCTGGTGACTTCGTGAGCGCGGAAGCAAAAGCCAACAACGTTAAAACGTAGCAGGCCCTGTGATTCCACAGTGCACAGTCATTAGTTTTTCTCTCGAGTCTAATTTTAAAATTTCCAACCTGTTGGAGAATTAATATGATCTTTACCCAGTATATCAGAAGGTAATATTTTGCCACATTTTGTCCCTCTGTTTTTTAAGTTTATTATTTTTGGCCAATGATCACTTAGCACAAGAACATTTTCCTATGCAGAGATACCGTTAACAGCAATCCATCTACTAGTCTATCTGTATTCAAGTTTCCCTGAATGTCCCAAAATGTCTTTTATTTCTCTCCTTTAAAAAATTATAATTAATCAGAATTCCTGCTTACTTTGATTCGGTTTATATCTTAGCTGTGTTTTTGTTTTTGCTTTTTTCACGGCATTAACTTTTTTGAAGAGTTCCCATCAAATTTTGTTTTTTTTTTTTTTTTTTGCAAAATACATAACATGGATATTTTCTTCCTGATTCTTTCCTCATGTTCAGACTTAGACTGAATTCTTTTCTTTCCTTTTCTTTCTTTCTTTCTTTTTTTGACTTCTTTATTTGTTTGAAAGTCACAGAGGGAGAGAGAGGGAGATCTTCCATACTGTAGTTCACTCTCAAATGCCTGCCACAGCCAGAGCTGGACCAGGCCGAAGCCAGGAGTCAGGATCTCCATCTGGGTCTCCCTGATGGGTGGCAAAGACCCAGGAACTTGAGCCATTATCTGCTGCCTCTCCAGGTGCATTAGAAGGAGGCTGCATTGTAAGCAGATTAACCTGCTGTGTCACAGTGCCTGCCCCAGGCTGGACGCTCTTAGGAACACTGCAGTGTGGTGGGGTGTCCCTCCTACGGCCTCGCACAGGGAGGCCACACAGTGCCAGGATCCTGCGTCAGGAGTGATGCTGGTCTTGATGGCTTGGCTGAGGTGAAGTGCTTGTCCCCTTTGCCGTCAGAAATGTGTGCAGGGATCCCTTGAAGCGTGAATAGTCTGTTCTCCGATAACTTTTTAATTGTTACCTTGGAGTTTGAATGACCTCATAAGCAAAGGAAGTCTTGAGCCTGACCTGTGAGTGAGAGGTGTTCCCAGTCTTCCAATAATGGGAAGCCTACAGGGGCTGGTGTTGTGGTGCTGCCAGTTAAACTACCACCTGTGATGCCAGCATCCCATGTGAGCACCGGTTCTAGTCCCAGCTGCTCCACTTCTGACCCAGCTCCCTGCCATGCGCCTTGGGAAAGCAGCAGATGATGGCCCAAGTGCTTGAGCCCCTGCACCCACTCACGTGGGAGACCCAGCTGGAGTTCAAGCTCCTGGAAGGTATCTCTCCATGTCTTTCCCTCTCTCTGTAACTCTGCCTTTCAAATAAATTAAAAATGTTGTTTAGGAAAGAGAGAGACAACCTACAAAATAAGAGAAAATATTTGCTTACTATGCCTCTGATAAGAGATTAATATCCAAAATATTTAAGGAACTCAAACAACTCAATAGGAAGAAAACTCATAGCAAGATGAAAAATGGGCAAAGAACCGGAATAAATATTTCAGAATAAGAGATTTGAATGGTGAGCAGGTATACGAAAAGATTCTCAACATCACTAACCATCAGGGAAACGCAAATTAAAAGCACAATGAAGTATCACCTCATACCTGTTAGAATTGCTATCATCAAAAAGACAAAAGATAAGTGTTGATGAGGATATGGAGAAAACAGAACATTTGTACACTGTTGTTAGGAATGTAAGTTCACATAACCATTATGGAAAACAAAATGGATGTCCTCAAAAAATTGAAAATAGAGCTGCCATTTGGTTTGGCAATCCCATTCTGGATATATATCCAAAGGCTATAAAAGCAGTATATCAAAAAGCTGTTTTAACTCCCATGTTCATCGCAGCATTAATCATAGTTGCAAAGACAGGGAACTAACCTAAATATCCATCAATGAGTAAATGGATAAAGAAAACATGGCATTTATACACAAGGGAATGCTATTTATCCTTAACAGGGTAGAAAATCTTCTGTTGCGACCACATGGATGAACTTGCAGGACCTTGTGCTAGGTGAAATGAACCAGGCACACAAAGACAAATACCACATGATCTCACTGATATGTGGATCTGTTTTTTTAAACAAACTTATCTTTTAATTACATTTTCCAAAAGTGTTTTTTTTTTGAAGATTTATCTATTTTTTATTTGAAAGGCAAAGTTATACGGGAGCTGGAGGCTATGGGGAATGTGAGTGGGAGAATCTTCCATCTGCTGGTTCACTCCCCAAATGATCATAATGCCCAGGGCTGGGCCGAACTGAAGCCAGGAGCCAGGAGTTACCTCCAGGTCTCCCACTTGGATGCAGGGGCCCAAGCACTTGGGTTGTCTTCCACTGCTTTCCCAGGTGCATTAGCAGGGAGCTGGGTGGAAAGTAATGGCACCCATATGGGATGTCGGCACTTCAGGCAGTGACTTAACATGCTGCACCACAGTGCCATCCCCAGAAATGTGGAATCTGAATGAAGATGAATTCATACAAACAGAGGGTGGTTACCAAAGGCTGAGGTTGGGGGTGGGGGGGCTGGGGAGATGTTGATTAATGAACACAAAATTTCAGTTACACAGGACAAGTAAGCTCACATCACAATGACTATAGTTAATGATGTATATATGAAATGTATTAAGAGAATACATTTTAAGTGTTCTTATCACACAAAAAATAATATGATGTACTACATATGTTAATTTGCTTTATTTAGCCATTCTATAATGCATACATACATCAAAACATCATGTTGTACCCCATGAACATATATAAAGTTTATTTGTCAAAATTAAATTAGAAAAATGAATAATCTGCTGGCAGATAATCATGAAAGTATATTTATCAAAGAGAAGTTTTAAACAGCAAGTCTGATCATATATACTGTTTGCCAGCTCTAAATACTGTGGTACTTACAGCATAATGTGTTAACATTCACTGAATTTGAAACTTATTTTGGAGGTGAGAGTGATTTCAGAGAGTAGGTAACCAACTTATTTCATTAATTGTATAAATGCCTTACTTGAACATTTTTTTAAATTTGAGAGGCAGGGAGAGAAGAAGAGAAAGGGACACAGAGTGATCTCCATCTTTCAGTTCACTCCCTAAATGTCCATAACAGCTAGGGTTAGGCCAGTCCAAAGCCAGGAGCTGGAAGTTCAATCCATGCCTCCAACATGGGATGCAGGGACCCAATTACTTGAACCATTAACTGCTGCCTTCCAGACTCTGCATTTTTTATTATTATTATTATTATTATTATTATTTGACAGGCAGAGTGGACAGTGAGACAGAGAGACAGAGAGGAAGGTCTTCCTTTGCCGTTGGTTCACCCTCCAGTGGCCGCTGCAGTCGGCGCACCGCACTGATCCAAAGGCAGGAGCCAGGTGCTTATCCTGGTCTCCTGTGGGGTGCAGGGCCCAAGCACTTGGGCCATCCTCCACTGAACTCCCTGGCCACAGCAGAGAGCAGGCCTGGAAGAGGGGAAACCGGACAGAATCCAGCGCACCGATCAGGACTAGAACCCGGTGTGCTGGCGCCACAAGGCGGAGGATTAGCCTATTGAGCCACGGTGCTGGCTGCATTAACAGGAAGCTGGAATCAGGAATCAGAGCTGGGACTCAAACCCAGACACTCCAGTGCGTGATGCAGGCAGCATCTTAATTCCTTGGCCCAATTTTTAGGTATTTCTTTTGCCTTCAGAAAACAGGCCTTGTAAACTGCTTTTTGGGGTCCCACTCACCATTCCCATATCACACTGCATTGGAGTGCAAGCCTTTTGTCCACATCCCACAGTATCCTTCTTTGGTGGTCACTCGGACATAGACTAACCTTTGTGAGACCAGGACCTGTTGACCTCCTGAAATAGCCTGTTGTTTTTATAATAATCTCATTTGCAAAGTCCTTGCACTGGGTAAGAATCTGCCTCCTTACAACCTCAGTCCATCAGACACAATGATATCTTGCTCTCTGAAACCACACAGATGGGATTCAGTGTCTCTCTCACATGACAACAAATTCACTGTTGGAGACACCTGTGCATTTCTTTCATTCTTCTCTCACCTGGCCCAAACATTTTCAGGCTCTTTATACATTTCTTATTTGTTATGGTTTCTGGATTCTCAGGAGACCCGTTAAATGTGTAGCATGCAGAACTCAATCCTACTCTCAAGTTTGATCAGTGAATCCAAATGGGTCATCAAACCATCCTTGCCTCAAAACTGTGCTAGACTCTGGGTGAGTGTTTGGTCATGGAAGAGAGATTAGGTAAAGCTTACCTCTTCCTTGCGATGTGTGGTGCAATTGTCTACAGCCTCTGAAGAAATCAAATGTATAGACCTTCAGCTCAGTGGTTCTCAAAGTGTGGTCTGTGCTTCTCAGAACCTGGTTCTGGGTTCCCAGAAGCCTTTTAGAGAGTCCTGAAGATTGAAACTATTTAATAATAATATGAAGACCTCATTGCCTTTTTTTCTGTGCTGATAGTTGCCTAATCATGCCAAAGCAATGTTGGTGCATAACTGCTGCCATCTTGGATTGAGACCTGTCACAGGACTCTGGGTTGTCCTAATTTTCTTTACCACTGTGCACTCGGAATGAAAACAACTGCCAGTTTTACTTAATAAAGTCCTTAATAAAACAACAAATTCTTAATTTGATAAATCCAACCCTGTGATAATATAGATGCTTAATGTTCTGTGTGACAAAAAGAAAACTGTGTGAAGCTCTTCTGCTTTTTCTTTTTTTTAAGATTTGCTTTATTTTTTTATTTGAAAGAGACACAGAGAGATGGGGAGGAGGGGAGAGGAGAGGGGAGAGAGAGAGAGAGAGAGAGAGAGGCAGAGAGAGAGAGAAAGTGCTTCCATGTACTGGTTCACTCCCCAGATGATCACAAAGGCCAGCACTGGGCCAGACTGAAGCCAGGAGCTTCATCTGGATCTCCCATGTGGTGTCAGGGGCCCAAGCACTTGGGCTGTCTTCTGCTGCTTTTCCCATTAGCAGGGAGCTGCATTGGAAGAGGAGCAGCTGGGACACCATCTGGTTGCCCATAAGGGATGCCAGCGTCAC